TTTTTTTTTTTTATAAGATTTCAATCAAATGAACCTTTTTTCATTTCATTTTTTGTGTGTGTGATATTGAGGTTAACACAAACATGACTTGCAATATCTTTTCTATCCCTCAACAAATTTTATGACTTATGTGGTTTCAAAGAATTTTCCACTTAATAACATCAATGTCTTATTAAGATGATAAATTCTGCAGAAAATTTATAAGAGCTTTTTTATTTCTTCTGTTTTTTAAAGGTATTTTTGCTGTAGGACACATACACTCACCAGAAAGAATTCCCCCCATTCCCCCCAACCTTGGGGGATGGCCAATTCTGAAATCCTTTTTCCTCCACTCCTATGATTTTGGGTGTACACACACATTCATTCACTCACTCATGTGCCTGGCATGGTTTTCATGCCAATGGGTCTGGGACTTGAACCACACTCTCAGCCATGTGGGATCTACTACCTTAACCACAGTTCTCCCCACTGACCCATTAGAGCCTATTTTACATTATGTAAAATAGGAAAATTAGACTATATGACACTTTTAGTTTAAACCAATTTTAAAAATGTAAATAAAATGTAATGCAGTACTCTTGCATGAGAAACAAATCCTTATGCTTTGTTTATTTATTAAAATTTTTTTGTGTGTTTGTAGTTTTTCCCTTCATATACATATGCATGTCATAGAGAGACCAAAACGGTGAGAGGGAAAGTAAGAAATCTCTTCCTGGGGGGGATGGTCACACCACAGTCCCTTCTCCTTTCTCCTTCTGAGTTCTTGGGCATGCATGCACATGTATGCAGTACATGTTTTAAGACACCAGACCTGGTACTTGAACTGTGGTCAGCCATGTGATAGTCCAGTGTTATAACTTCTAGGCCATCTGCTGCCCCCCCCATTTTTTTTAAAGTACAGAGACTTATAGGATGTAAAAATCTTAAAACTTTATCTACTAATGTACACAAAATTGCTCTATAGGTTTTTCAAAAGTTTTACACTTGGCTGTGAAATTCTATTGATTGTATCTGACATGTATTTAAGGGTTTCTGCCTCATGTGATATTGTTAAAAACATTGCTGGGGCTTAAATGTATTGTTTAGCATTTTTTGTGTAAGGAATAAACTAAGTATTCTAAAAACTAGCCAATTTATTTGCTCAAGGGTCCTTGGATCTACATTTTGGGGTTGGTTCATCTGGGTAGTTTCTATTCTGGTTGACAGGATGGCAAGTGAGACTTTACTCATGTGGTGCCTCAAGAGTCTGATTCATTTCAGATGACTTCAGTCTTCTGTCTAGTGGTCTGTGCTGACTCTTGATGAGGCCCATGTATCCACCAATTTAACCTCAGAATTTTTTTTAAGAGGTTTTTGCTATAGGGCATGGGCGCTCTCCAGACAGACAGAGGGAGACAGAGAGACAGAAAGCGAGAAATCACGCCCCCAGGGGGGATGGCCACACTACAATCCCTTCTCCATTCTCCTCTCAGGATCTTGGGCATGCACGAACATGCGCCCAGTGTGAGATTTGAGCCACAGGTCTGGGATGCAAACTGCAGTCAACTACATGGGAGTCCAGCAACATAGCCATTATGTTAACTGCTGGACACCCTAGCCTCAGAATTTTTCAATAATGACTCTGCTATCAAGTGAAGCACTGTTGTGAGCAGGTGGTGTGGTAGTTAAAGCACTTGATTCCCACATGGTCTAACTCTGGTATGAGTCCTGGGCCTGGCAGCTTGAAAATCATACTGGGCACGTACCCAAAATCCTGAGAGGAGACTAGAAGAGAAGGGATTGTGGTGTGGCTATTCACCATTTTTCCCTTTCTTTCTCTCTGTCTCTCTCCAGTGAGTATATGCACCCTATTATAAAAACGATAAAGAAAGAATGGAAGTGCTAGTGGGCAAAACCTTTCCAGACTTAGATTTCTATCACATTTTCTTTTTTTGGTTTATTTTATTCATGATAGAGCATGCATGTCCACTCAAGATTGAGTGAAAGAGAGAAGCATATACAAGGATTCATTACCGTGTTTCCCCAGCTCTCTAACTCATCAGGATCTTAGGCATGTGCACTTATTCAAAGACTTGATTTTATTCTGACCTGGGGATCCAAAATCATGGTTAACCATATGCCTTCCAAGACTGAAGTTGTATTTGTTATTGACTC